GAGGGGTGCGGTGCTGAGGGGACTCCTGTCAGTCTGGGACCTCTCGGCATACAGAGTGTGGGAAGGGAACAGCCTCTGTGGGTGTATTTCATGTGACTCGGTGAAAAATGGTGTGGGACGGAGCGGGATTTGTGGGGGGCAGAGCCCTGCAGCACCGCAGGGAGGAAGCCGTGGAAGGAGCTCGGCCAGGGCCTTGCCCCAGCGACTGAGACACTGAACAAACAGTTCTGGGCGGCAGCAGAGGATGTCTGAGCTGAGCAGTCACACATGAGCCTGGGCATCAGTCCTACAGTGATTTTCTGGCCTGCTGACACAATTAAACTCACATTTGTAAGGTTAGGACGTGGTAAGGCGTAGCAACAGTGGTCTAAGTTTCAGAGGTTATGCGTCCTCCGGAGACAACAGATGTAACGTGCTCTCTTCATCCATGAACCGCAGAGGCACTCATCTGGTATGGGCTGTTTCAGCATCCCTGCTGTTCCCTGAGGATGCTCTTCTGTTACAAAGAGTATCTAGGCCAAGATGGACAGAGCTTAGAGCATCCCCATCCAGTTGAAGGTGTCCCTGCTCATTCCAGGAGGGTTGGACTAGGTGACCTTTAAAGGTCCCTTCCAGCCCAAACTCATGTGTGATTCTATGATCATGCTTCAGTGAGGAGCTAGCTGTAGTGTTTTGAGGTTGCTGCTTTAGAAACAGAGGGCTATATCAGTAAAACATCAGACATCATTGACAGGCTTACTTATCCTGTGTCCCAGATAATGCTTTTCATTCTGAAAACAAGGTTTTATGATTCTGATGTTTTACCTTAAGAATTTTTCGTTCCTCAGAAGCTGTGCAAACAAAATTAAGACATGAAATTCTGTTTTAATTGTAGCTAGTTTCCTATTTTCTAGTGGCTTTGCTTGCCTTTTTTAAAAAAAAAAAAATCTGGAAATGTAGGTAATTTTGTAACTAGACCTTAGGTTTTATGGGCCTGAACTGAAGTAGGCAAATCTGTGATCCAGCATGAAGCTGGGGTGAACCAATGAGAAGATGAGGGCCCAAGTGTCAGGAGAGTTTCTTTAAACACAGATGTACCATTGACCTTCTGACAGTAACTTTGTGACGCCAGTGGTTATTTGGCACCCAGTTCTCACTTGTGTTTCGAAAATCTTGCTCTTTACCAAATTTCTCTGTGTTCTCCTTGACATTAATCACTTGCCACTGCCTAGTAAGTAACGCAATGGAAATAGATCTTAAGGAATTTGTAGATTTAGTAATATTTTGGACTAGTCTGTGAAACAAGTTGCAGTAATAGATTCTGGGGTGGAATAGACATTAAAGTTGTGTTACCCCTTCCCTTCCAAAATGTGTGTCCCCGCAGTGCCAGTATAGATTATATAGGGCATAGTCTGTCCAAGCTGCTCTGAGCCAATAAAATTCTGTCATTTATTTGCAACTTGTATTTGCTTCTTTTAAAACCACTGTTTGAGAACTGCAAGATCAAAATTTGGGCCTTGATTTGGGCCTAAACCCATGCTGACCAAACTTACATTTCATTGATTTTGAAAAGTTCCTTATTCTCTGCGTTACAAAAGAATACATTCTGTTCTGTGCAGTTGTTGCATATTGTTCATGGAGTAGTGGCAAGGTCCATTTGCACCAGTGAGCTAAAAGGTACAGGTACTGAAAGGCTAATACCTTGAGGAAAGTATATTCCAGTGAAAGATGGAAGCACTTTCAGGTCATTTTAATGTGGAAAGTGTAAAGAGTTTACTCTTTCTCTCTCTCTTTTTTTTTTTTTTTAAAAAAAACAAGCCTCTGGTAGTTTTCTCTCATTCAACAGTATGTGGATTACAGCAAGCTGGCAGTCTTTTGGGAAAGTAAAATGGGGGAAAAAGCTGGAAAAAAAGAAAGGACTCCAAAGCTTAATTTCCACTTAATTGTCTTGTATTCAAAATGTATGCAGTATGTCGGTAATTTATAACACACTGGCTGTTCTCATTGTAGTATGGATGCAGAATTAGAATGTATTACTTCAGAAATTGCAATTCAGTTCTGTTGTTGTATAATTTAACTTCGAACCATGTATATTTTGAATTTTATTAAAAATAAATGTGAATTAGTATTTTGTGCCTTTGTCTTTTTAAGGTGTCATGGAAAAACTTGGGCTTGGTCCAGAGGTCCTTCTACAGGACAATCCCAGACTCATCTATGCTAGACTTACTGGATTTGGCCAGACAGGAAAATATGCCAAGTCTGCAGGTCATGACATCAATTATTTGGCTTTATCAGGTAGGCTGTAAAATTTCCTGTCAAATAAGGCTTTTTCAGCTCTTAAGTCAAGACTGAAGAATGTATTGAAAGGTTATTTGCAGATAGCTCAAAGTGCATGAGGCGCAGTCTGATGAAACAGCCGAGCAGATCTGAAGCATCTGTCAGTGAAAGGCGGGTTTCCTTCTCTTCCCGTGTGCTTCTCCCCGCTCCTTTCTCTCCAGTCAGCTCTGGCACTTACTTAATTCTTCTGTAAACTCCCTCACAAGTCACAAACTGGCCAGGAGAAATGAGGATTTTGTTCTGCGAGGTTATTGAGGTGAAGCAGTTCATTGAGGGATCCAACAAACATAAAAAGTCAGTACAAGAAAGGAGGAAACATGGGCTGGACAGGCTGCTCGTTTTGGCAGCAGCAGTGAACTGTTAGGCTGGATCAGCTTGTCTTCTCAGGCTGCACAGTGTTTTCCTTCCTTTGAGATGTTTTATATGAATAAAGTTTTTATCTTTGAAGAGAGGACTGAAGTTTTTATGCATGTTTGTCTTTCTTAAAAGCCTCTCTCCCACAAAATCTGTGTGTTTATAACCCCAAAAGGGCTACAGATTATTTTACATGTTTGCGAGCAGCTTTTTTTAGTGAAGAAAAACTAGGCAGCCTAAGCCATTTGAGCTCTTGGACTTTTCTCCTGTAAATATCTCTCCATTGATACCAACTAGTTGATCATCTAGTTCCAACCCCCCTGCCATCAACAGGGAAGGTGATCTTTAAGGTCCCTTCCAACCCAAACCATTCTATGATTCTAACTGACAGTAGGCTTAAAATAAAGCGGCAAAGCGATGTTTCCTTAAGGTGTTGTAGACAGTGTGCTGTTTTTAACTGTCATTCTTCTCCCAGTAGTATGCACTAACAAACAATTAACAAAACTAACAAAATTACCCAGCTCAAGTGGTAGCAGTCAGTGCGTCATGCGTGGCCATGCCTGCTGCTGCTCACACTGCTACTGTCTCTGCTGCTTCTCCAAGCCTGTGAGGGAGGAGAGCAAATGGCCCAAAACTTCTTGGATTCCCACCGGATAAAGAATTTCTTCTAGCCCCAGCAAAAGGCCAGAGCAGAGGCCACTGCAAATGATGTGATCTGGTATCACCTACTCCAGACAGTTACTGTGTTGTGGAGTTAAGTTTCCTCAGGGATAGAAAGGATGCCTTGTTTGAAACGCTTTTGACTTCATGTCCCGATGATT